TCGAGGATCCCAGTCTAAATCAAAACGAATTTCATGAACTGTTGACGTAGGCCAATTCTTCGCGACAGCTGAGAATGCTGCCAAAAACGAAGTACTCAGACTCGAGACAGATGTAGCCGCAGTCCAGTCCAGAAGGATTCGCTTCTTCATCGCGCCTACAAGCCAGCGGAAGGCGTCGGCTTCTTGGAGATGATTTTCGTATTTTGAAAGCATGAGGAATGAATCGTCTTAATTCAATTCGGTCTCGTCCAAGCCAAACTCTTCCTCGTTTCCATGCTCAGAAAGAGCGGAAGGAATTGTGTTCGGGAAGCCCTCGTCAGTTGTATCGTATTCATCCAAAGACCCCTGATCCCAGCCAGACACTTTGTCTTTATATGCTGCGACATCCAGGGCATTATGGGACCTCATGAATACATGTTGGTCGTCATCAAGATCACTTTCCTCTTCTTTTTCATTGAGGATTCGTTGAAACTCTGTCTTGATATGCCTAAGACATTTATGTAAGATAAGCCAAAAGTTTCAAGTTGGAATAAATCTCGAACAATGCTTACCTGCGGTAGTGTCTGACAAAAGTGCTGATATCTTTGACGGTGGTTGAAGTGTGTGATGAGGCTAGTCTGATAGAAAAGGCTCTTAGAAGCAAGATAAAAGGCTCTTCCACACCAACGACATCGCTCCTTGCTTTCAAGTTGGTATCTGAGCAGATGGCTTGATGCAGAATCTCGGCGAACCTGCCAACAAACATCACTTTCTGGTCAGGCAGAAGATCCAGATGTTCGTTGTCCGTCAAGATGGTCGCGGTCTCTTCAATTTGATCATCTTCTACTGACACCGCGCTCGGCTGGTCAACTCGTGATGCAGTACCATAACCAGAATCGGCGATCCCATGCCTCTTTTGGAACTGTGTGAGAAGATCTGTAGGGGGTATCGTGTCACAATATTGTAGACTCCGAGTTGAATTCCAGGGACCCCTCAGCGTTGTAGACCCTGAATAGTTGAAGGTTGGATAGAGTCCAGATAGATCGTCCGCTGGGGAAGACGGCTGGATCTGCAAGCGCTCGGAAAATAAGCTATCCACGTTCGAGCGATTCAGATCTTCACCGATATTTGGATGCACCCTTGTATCTATTTCCGACGGCTCCTCTGAGATGTCTGCTTCTTGCAGATGCAGAAGATGAATAGGCTCGCTCTTGTGAGTGGCTAAAGTCGGTGTTTTGAACCATGCCTGCAAAATCGTAGACGCGTTAGATCGTTCTGTCGGCTCCGGTCGGAGCATCTGATCCAAGATGAGGTTGCTTAGCCGAGCGAACCAAGAAATGGAGTCTCCGGCGGCATTGACAGTCTTTCGATGCCATTTGTCCACGACGTCCGAGCGAAGATTACCATCGTGGAATAGCCCGGTGTAAAAGCCCGCCTCTAGCTTTATCTCTCGGGTTGCATTTTCGCGGTCTGCCTGGTATTCAGAGCGTCCATGTTCTCCCCAAATGCACCATACCATAGCTTCGCTTAGAATACCGCCGAGCGACCATATGTCGCCACAACGTCGAATGTCTCTTGCGTATCCGTCATCTTGATTGGCTTCAGGGGCACCTTGAGATGTTCATATAAGAATTGAAGATACACAGTCATGAGAAGTTGACTCACTATACATCCCGTATCCCCGTTGATTCTTGGCATCTCGATCAAGCCCCTGAATCTTCGCGCTTGGAAGATCTCCTATTGCCCAGTTTCCGAACTTGAAAGTAATGTCATACATATTTTCAGAGGGAGTCGTATGCACCAGAATGTTCTGAGGTCTGATGTATTGATGCGCCCTGGGACAGAAATCAGTTCGAAATTCGAAACTAGTCTGCAAAACCTAGGCACTTACCCTCCCAACATCCAAGCTCCCTTCGCATGGGAGTTGCCAACTGAAAGATTGTGTAGATGATCAAGGCCTTCAAAGAGTCTCATGAGGCTATTAAAGAACATCACACTATCGGATTGAATGTGTGGAGGAGGGCAGCTTTTGAAGAATGATACGAGCGTTCCGCCATTGGCATATTCCAGTATAATAGTCCGAAGGCCCGCACTCTGGAAAGAACCAAAGTATCTCGTGATATGGTCGAAGCCACTTCCATGGGAGAGTTGAGAATACATGTCCACCTCGCTATCGTACTGTCGTGTGGTGTAATGGTCGCGATTGCCACTAAAGACTTTGAAGACGACAGTCTAGTGCCATTAACCTCTCGTAAGATTCTGAAAACAACTAAACATGGCAATATTACGTACTGTTTCGTCAAAACACTCAGCGTGTAGCTTCACCTTGTAAACGGCAACGCACTCTATTCTTGCTTGGGGGTAGATCATGTCCTTTTCGACGATAGGAATGATGTGGTACGGCGACAGTACTCTTTTGTGCGTCATGTGGCTTGTTCTCATGTTGAGCGAGAGAGGACTGAATGTCCATTGATGTTTCTGGAAGTCATCAAAGATCTCCGTCATGGAGGAATCCATGCCCGAAAACGCGACGGGGAGGGCAAAGTGCGGCATACCAACATCGCCAAGATGTTCCTTAATGAACAAGACAATGCGTTCGGGTCGACCAATGTAGGTCAGTATGGAGAACACAATCAAATAGCTCTCTATGATAGTCTCTGGAGGCGCTCTGGTTCTTTCTTCTGGGTCGCATAGAACGTTCTTGATGTTTTCCGCCGTCCAGTAGTTGCGGAGTGCCAAACGTGGAATGAAAGGCACCAGGTCATTGTAGCCGTTCCGACCCGAGTAGCGGGCTTTTTCGATGTCGATGTACTGCTTGAAATCACGGACCCCAGCATCAGAGTCCATGGCGTTCAGAAGTCGAGCTGAGGTATGATGAATAGTCGGATAACCGACCAACGGCAAATAAGACGGCCAGGGCTGGGTACTAAGCCCGAGTGTCGTTCGATTTGAGTTGGTAAAACTCAAACAACCTCCACAGTGCTCTTTTCGGGCAACGGATAAGGCAGAGTCGTTGGTTGGTGTTGAAATTGCTTGCGTAGCTATGCAGATTGCGGCTACGTCTTGCTTTTGTTTGCCCCTCACTTTGGCGAACCATCAGACCTCAAAAAAGGCAACCATGCAGTATCGTGGGACAGGTCAGACGTATCCCCAATAGATCCCAGCGGCGTTGCAGTTGTAGGGGAAAGGCGGAGGCCCGCCGTGACGTAATCCTATTAGGTTGGACCGGGAGAGAGGGTGGAGGCGATTGTAGCATGCATGATTGGATCTATCACACGTCTATCACATATTTTCCACAGCAGCCTGCAGAAAGCGGAATCATCGACAACTTGGGTGCGGCAGCGTATTTCAAGCTCCCCCTCCTCCCGCCCTTGGTTTTAACGGCTGAGCAGGACCGAGGGACCTTTCGTACAGCTGTCAGCTGAACATCCATATGAGCAAGGTTAAACATTCTAGATAAGCGAATCTTTGAGAAACTTTGTCCGACTTTTCTCGATAGTGATTGCTTTCCCCCTGATTATAAATCATTGGGTTGATATCAAATCGTCCAACCAAGCAAACATGGAAGGAACAACACAGGGACCTAACACAGGAGGATGAAATACGTCAAAAGAATTAACGCCCATGCCTCAGTAAACTTTTTATTGAACGTATAGGAAAAGTCCAAATTACAAGACCATGGATGAAGCTAAAACACTGTGTGTTGAAGAATCAAGATGCTGCCGCCTCCCAAAATTTGAACTCCGGCTAGCTTTGATATTCCATTTAGTCGTCTTTCTGTGGTTCAGAATAACTGTACCACACATACTCCGACGGTTGCAACCGTCTGTGCGATACAAAGTAAAATGCATGTCGAGAACATGAAGTTGGCTGCCTGCAGCATGGAGAGATCTGTCATGCACCCGGGCAACGCTTCGTTCTCAAGGCGCACTCAACTATGAAAGCGTGTCTACAGGTACGTCAGAGGTTCAGATTAAATTGGATGGACAAGCAGCTCCCAGCTTCTCAAAGTCTCTCGCCCCAATCCGTTCTCGAAATGCGCCGAGGGAGGCCCAACCTGAGCTTCTCTTTCTATTGGGCTCACAGGAAATATAATTGGTCGCCTGATCCGACAATGGCTGTGATAAGGCCATTCCCTGCCGCAGGCTGCTGCATGTGAGACCAGTGTGGAACCTGATAGGTCAACCGTTGGCTAAGAAATGGACTTTGGTGCATGGTGGTAACACAAGTTGGTTGCGTGATGCGCAACCCCGCAGATACCCAGCAAAATAGGAACTCAGGCTCGGTCGACCTTTTATGTTCCATCCAGTCGGCTTTTTGTTTTTAAGACTAGTCGAGGGCGCCTTGTGGCAGCCTAGCAACGTGTTTTCCTTCTTGGTCATGGCTCGCGGAAATGCGAGAAAGCCCACTCTTGGCGGGGCTGCATACACGGGATACTTTCCAGCCGAGACGCAGCCCAAGAAGAAAGATCTTTATTGTGATCTGTTGGTCTGGTTCAAGAAAAGCTGACAGGATGGGACGGCATGTCACTGGGATGGAGAACACCAGAAGTCAGGTCGACCGGGCTGCCAGCGCCGGACCCCACCTGTCGGGTCCGGTCCGTATGGGGGGGCCACACGGCCCCGGAATAGGGCACTGCGCCAGCTGTCACACAACTTTCCTGGGTGTACCAAAGCTGTTGGAGTGCGCAGCTCTTCAGGCCAAAGGTTTGAAAAATAATCATACAACAATGACTGCACTTCAAGGCAGGCGTCCTAGAATTCCACGATTGGGTTGCCCCGCCCCGCGATCCGATGTGGGGATTCAGACGCGTTCCAGCGTAGTGGCGACGCGTCCGACAAGGTTCAACGCCGCCAATGACGTCCCAGAAAGTGTAGCTCAACTTCGTCTTCATTGACAGAGAAGACATGCAACGCGTGTAATTCGCCATTCCATCACCACGTGCCTCGCCATGGGGTTTTCTTCACCGGTGTCGATTACCTCAGACAGCGAATCTGAAGAGAAGTCGGCTTCAAAGACCACTGCCAACCTCAACTACCGCAACTGGAAGCATTACCCTGCACACGCGCTTGGATGGCATCAAATCCGTGGGCGACTTCGCCAACTTCACACGATACCCCACTTCTGCCAATCAGGGTCTGAAGATCGAGGGCCACCCGGCCTTCCCGCTTCCGCTCACCCACGCCGATGCCGAAAAGATCAAGGGAGCTTGCAAACAGGCCCCGTTCGGCAAGGGCGAAGATACCGTCGTGGACACCTCGGTGCGGAACACGTGGGAATTGGGACATACCGACTTCCAACTCATCAATCCAGAATGGCCTGGTTTTCTTCAGAAAGTCGCCCTCACGGCAGCAAGTGGGCTTGGTCTCTTGAACATAACTGTGAAGCCGCATAAGCTGCTCCTCTATGAGAAGGGATCATTCTTCAAGCGCCACAAGGATTCCGAAAAGGAACCCGGCATGGTGGGCACGCTTGTGGTGTGCCTCCCGTCAGAACACCAAGGGGGTGATGTCCATCTCACGTTCGGCTCCGACCAGCGCACCTTTTCGACCGCGCCGTCGTCAACTTTCGACGTGAGCGCTCTTGCTTGGTTTTCCGACGTTACGCACGAGGTCAAGGAGTTGACGTCGGGCTACCGTCTCGCCTTGACCTACAACATCATCCAGAACGGACCGGTCAAGCAGTCGGCGGGCTTCTTCGGACAGCAGGCGCAGCAAGTCAAACAGGTGTTGCTTCAATGGCAGATCAACTTCTCTAAGGAGAAGATGCTTGTGTATCCCCTGGGTCACAAGTACTCCGAGTCGAGTTTGTCCATGCGGAATATGAAGGGCCGAGACAAGGCAGTTTGTCAGGCCTTGCAGGATGTGGCATCTCAGAGCGGCGTCTTTCTCCTCTTCGCCCACCAGACACATACTCAGGGCGAAGATGCGGATGATTATGGCTATGGAGGATATGATGACGAGGAAGACGTTGCTGGGACTTCACTGGACGCCATATTCACCCCTGAGGGTAAGCAGATTGCCACTCACATCATTGTCGACGACGATGAGAATTTGGTGCCGAACTTCTTCAAAGAGCGAGCTCCAGACAGTGAGGAGGAAGGTGAGTTCACTGGGAACGAAGGTGCTGCTAATACCTATCGATATCACGACACAGTAAGTATGCGGCCGGCCAAGCTTTGCGCCCAGTGACAGCCCAAAGCATGAGCAAGCAGAACTGATCTTTGAAATAGGTTGCAGTGCTCGTCAAAAAGCAGCATCTAGCGAAATTCCTGAAGAACGACCGATACAGCGTCGGGCCGGACGCACATACAGACAACATGGTAAAATTCGTGACTGCAGATCTGGAGGAGCACGTCGAGCATAAATCTACCAAACTCTCGGCTTTAGAGTTCCTGAGAGCCGCGCTCCAGATAAAGGGAGGCTCGCAAAAGACCACACCTCCGATCGCCGTGTATTGGGCGCTGGAGCTTGACGACCCGGCACTCTTCCGGGGGGCCATGGTCGCCGCCACACAGGCCAGCCAAGAAACATACACTGAGGCCCTCAGTGTGACATGTGTTTACGTAGAAGCACACTTCTCGGAGAATCCTGATGCCATTGAGTGGGACAAGTGGTAAGTAATATCTGGGCTGGTGGGCCTCGTTGGCTGTTCGGATGCTGAGCTGACATTCGTCAGGCTGGGCGACACCACCAACTCAAGCCCCCTTTCGACATTCTACAACAGCATTCAGCACTTCATACCCCGGTTCAAGTCAGACGCTGTTCGAGACTCGTTCAGCAAATGGAGCGAGTCGAGATTAGATTGGAAGCTCGGAACTTTACCTGAGCTGGGCACTATTGAACTCAGTTTCTTTGCCAAGACGCTGGAATCTCGACACGATAAACCGGATTGGATCATGTCAAGGTAAGGTCATGGGCTATTACCCAAGCCAGACAAGTTTGCTAAGGTTGCTGTGGTCAGTCTTCTTCCAGCGTTGACTTCTCGTGGTACTCGCGACCTCATCTACAAGGTGCTTAATACGGTCTTCGTCAAGCGGGAACAGCGGGAGTTCAAGAACGCAAAGGACATCTACCAGTTCATCGTACAGAACGGGCTCGTAAAGCTGCTGATCACGGGCGAGGATCTTGCCCCCATAAAAGTGCCTTACGGCACGTCGGCCGGCATTGGCCCACTCACCGAGTTCGTCTACCGGGTGAACGAAGGTCTCAGTCTCGGTGCCACAGAATCCGCTCTCCAGCTGCTGGAGGCGGGTTGTAACAACCTAGTGTGGACGAAGGCGGAATGGGACCCCACGACCGTGATGTTTAATGTCGTGAAGCTGTTCTTGAAGCCTCTGATCATCACATTGCAAAAGCACAACGTCCCGAGCTCTCATCACGAATCGATCCGGAGCCTCTTCGAGGTCGTCATCGGCGAAGGACTCCACCGGCAGCTCGGCCCCTTCCCGCCGCCACCGGTCGGCTGGAGTTACAAGCCGCGCCGGTGCAGGCCCGCCGGACATCCGAAAATGTTTGGAAGCCATGGGTACCAGAGCCAGTGTACCGATTGCCCTTCTCTCGAAGCATTCCTGACAGCTCCGGATCAGAAGGTCTGGAGGTTCTCCGCGGCAGAACCACGTCGTAAGCACGTTGAGAGCGTGCTCTACGAATGCACGAGATTCTTCAATCTCAGCACGGAGCGCGGGCGGTCTCCGTATACCCTGGTTATCGAGAAGAACGGTGGAGAGTACCAGGCCGAAGTCGAGCAATGGCGGACCCGTCTCCGGGGCCTAGAAAGCAATCTCGCGCCGCTGCGGAACGATCTCGTGCAGACCATCCTCGGCGAAGATAGATACCGGGAGCTGATTCTTCTCGAGGGCATGCAGGGTCAGGGGACCTTGGGGAACGGTGCCGGAGTGAAGAGGGAGGCGGAGGAGCCCGCGTTTGGGCAGCCGCCCGCTGCTCATCGCAGAATGTGGTGAAGGGTTCGGAGACACTCTTACTGTCTTTCGTCGACGAAGCAATCCGCTGAAGATGATATTTCGGCCCGTCTCCTCTGTCGAATTAGTGTATCATAAGGTGGTATTATTAGCTCACGGCGCAACGAGACGTGGTGGAGACCCCTGCGACGCTGGACGTCAGACAGGCTGTAAACAACATGACAGATAACCCGAGTTGAGCGAAGACACCACGTGTGTTGTAGAGCCAACCTTGCCACGTGGTGTTGCGGGCTAGCATCTGAGATTTAGAGATGAGATGATGGGCGAGGGCCAAGGCACCTTCACATGTTGGCAGCACTGATGACATCGCCTCAAGAAAGATCCTCATTTGGTACTCTCGTGCGAGGTTGATTAGTGGACTTGAGTCGTCGAGCATCGAAATCAATAATGATGACATGTGAACTGCTGTGAAGGACGCTTACTTGCTAGTTTTGAGATGAAGCACGCCTTGCGAGCGAGCCCTCAACTGACAGGAGTTATCTGAGTCGCATCTCTCGCCTATCAGATTCGTGGCACACATATCGTCTGGCAGCTGAAATAGACGTCTCTCCAGACTTGGTAATCCTAGCCTTGCGAGGTGTGAACTGATGATCAACATGCTGGTTTCGACCTATCACCAGTTTTCTCGATGTCGTTATCTCAATATACGGGCGTGCGTACCTTTTGCACCCTAAGTCTACCAAAGTTTCCGTCTCTCCCCAATAGAGATTTTCAAGTTCGATAAGGGCTAGATTATCCATCCCAAGTCCCGTCCAGGATGGCCCAGGAAGAAGCATGGTCGTGGCGTGATCGTCTCAACTTCCTCCCGGTGGGAAAATCAACCTTCCTTCCTCACGCCCACATACCTCGGCAGCAGCATGAAAAGCAAGGCAGACGGGCCGTCCACGACACATGAGTTCTGACAGCTCTCCGGCGTTCGATAATCACGTGAAGGGGGCCTGGAAGAATGGCAAAAAGTGCAGGGATGCAGCGAGCAAAGAAAGTTGGCACACACGGAAGAGGATGGTTTGAGCGCGGCGACGTGTGTGTGTGTTGCGTTCGTGGATCTGCCGCAGGTTCTGAAACAAACCCTCTGGTAAGCTAATCTGTCATCGTTTGAACTTCCCGCAGCGCAAATGATCAGACAACAAGACGAGACAAGACAGACAGGTTTCTCCAAGTCACAGACTTTCCCACTGTGCTCGCATTCGAAAAGCATGTGGGTACTGAGAGAGAGGAGGCATTTTACCGCATTGTACTTCGGACAGCGGGCACACGCAATGCTACACCACTTTCCAGAGGGGTTGAGCTGAAGTATTGAGGCGGTGTTTGCTGTACCTGTGTGCCTGAGTCTTCCTTACTTACGTCGAATGAGTTGATTGTTTCGGGACACGACGGGACCCGTTGCCAGCATCCCGGGTCTCTTGATTCGGCAGAGGGTTAGTTGCCCAAGTCATGCAGATCGGATATACGGCCTTGATTTATGTCTAGTTTCCTCATTGAGATGTTGCTTGTTACGGATTAGATGTCAATATGCATTTGCCTGAGTTGTGGAAAGTCGCTGCTGGCTCCATGTGTCTACTCGATAGCGCCCTACCGCTTGAGAGCAGATTTCTGAAGCAGTCTGACATGCATTCACGAATACTCCTGCACAAGTTGCCGCAGAGCTCAGACGCGGAAAACATCGCACTGGCCCGGACCTCACGGATGAACGACATCATCGCATCATCACTCTCCCATCATCTTGGGTCTGCCGCAAAAGTGAGGTTTCGGAGTATTACTTGATTGGTAAGTTTGTCATCTAGATTTTCTCTCTCCAATGTAGGTAGGCACTTTGGTAAAATGTTGGGCCTATCTGCTGCCGCGGCTCTGGGGAGGCACAACCCGTCTCCCTAAATCAAAAGAACAATGCAAGGACCATCTTTCCGCAGCGTTGCGCGGGGTCCCGATAAATTTTAGTGTTTTTGAACGCCTGTATCGCATAGCAGGTTCCCGGCGGCCCCCAACCGTTTGGCCATGCTTTCCGTGCTGGAACCGCACACAGTTTCTGCGCCGAGTCGCTCGCTTTCCCGCTGTTGGACCCATCTAGTTCGTCATCGTCGTCTGCTCTCGCTTTCTTTGTCGTCGTGAAAAATAATAAAATGCGGTCGCGTAAATTGATTTGAGCGCGGGATGAATGGCCTCAGTTCTTCACCCTCGAGTCTCGGGCCGGACGACTGGCCCGCTCGGCCCGGCGATCGCCATGGGTCGACCGGGGGGTGGCAGATCCCCAGCGTTCGGCCTCGGAGAGAAGTCCTTCCTTGATGGCGGCGCCGCGTTTTGATGCCTGTCATGTATGAGTACAGTGAACGTCGATGCGTGTCTGATGAAAACATACTGCGCAGAGATGACACCTGTCGCCGAAGCGGGAGACGGTGTTGTGGCAGTGGATTGAGCCCTACATGGTGTCACGTGAGTTAGGGATTCAGACAAAGGGCCGTGATGGGGAGGCTCACGTAGTAGTTGGAGCAGTAGTAACCCATTGTGATTGTTTATTAGGGGTAATCGGACGAAATAAGGAGCTCAGGTAAAGAAGTCGAAAAGTGCCGACTCGTCAGGAAGCGCAGTCGATCTCGAAGCTCGATAGGAGGGATGGACCAGCCGGCAGAGGGAGGGAGAGAGGACGGACAGAGAAGATCTTTTCGATGTTCGCGGATAGGTCAAAGAAAGAAATGCCAAGTCGTCTTGAATGTGAAGAAAAAAAAGTACAAGCAGGACTTCAGAGACACTTATACCATTGACAGACGCAACCTTGAACACCCTCCAACGCCACGACCGCCCAGACGCGGCACTGGAGAAAGAGAAGGTCCATTAATAAACCACGCTCACTCACTCTTGGATAGTCCGGCAAGCTTCCTTGCGGCAGCAGAGTAGCAGGCTACTGCCACTTGGCTCGCTTTGCGTCGTCCGCCTCAACGAAACGAAACAAGCCTCGGAGACCGTGACACCTGTCCAGGGCTACCCCTTTCACAGGGCTCCCAGTCGGCTCGCAGCCCAAGCAAAACTAAGCCTAAAAATCATCCGACGAAGGGAGGAGAAGGGGGGAGGGGAGCTTTCCGGTCACCTAAGGCAAGCACATTGATACTGTGTGGTCCAAGGGGTGGGACGTGAAGGGCAAGATGGAGGAATGTAGACAGAGATGAGGGGACGGTGTTAAGGCCAAGGTGCAGGATAACAGGCTTCAGTACCACCTCAACTCGACAGAAGCAGTGAGCAGTGATGGTGAGCTATGGGGGCCAAAGTTTCCGTGGTCAGTGCTTGTCCGGCACGGTTTCCAGCTCGCCGGGAACCCAGCGGTGCCCCTGGCCTCTTTGTTGCTTGTCATGGGCCTTGGTTGGTGCTTAGCTGGGCGCTGGCTCTCGTCTGAGCGGGACAGCGGGCTTGTTGTTTGTGGCAGTCCGTGGGAACCTTTTCTGGCCCCTGGTTCCCCGTCGTCGTCGTAGTCGTTGCGGGCGACTCGCGACGTTTTGGACAGTCCAGTATTTGCCCAAGCAAGAAAGAAAAAACAAGAGACGGACAAGTCACCAAGACACAAGACGTACCAAGGCTGGGGACAGTTTGCGGGGAACATCGCTGAGAGCGTGGCCGCGGATGGCACCTTCAAAGACACGGCAAACTGTAGAGGAAGGGCGTTCCTGGGCTTGTGCCGGGTTTCAGATGAGAACGATGTGAGCGTACCCGGGTACGGGAACGCAAAGTACGGACGGAGTGGCTGATGTGTGTACGTGTGCGGTCTTCTTGGGAGGGGGATCCGCCCAAGAAACGTACGTAAGACCGGTTGCTGCTATTTGTGGTGTTTGTCCTTTTGGCCTTGGTTTGTACAGTTCGGGGGAGGGACCGGCTTTGGAGGCAGATGGAGACGTGGAACGGGGGACCCTCTCCCCGGTGACGATTAATGCGGATGGGGTCGGTCGAGACCGTTCGGATGTTTCCACGTCAGCCATCTAGGCATATACTTTTTTGCCGTAGACGGCCCGGTAGGTCAAGATGTCAGGCCCGTTGACTCAAGGCATCATCAAGTTCTCCATGCAACGCGACTCTAGATGTTAGTCCATGTAGCACTGCACTGGTTGAGCTGACTGAGACAAACTACCACGTTCCGCCGGGAACGGCTTTTGGACGGAGATGCGTTGAGCAAAGGTATTCCAACTCGCCCTTACTAACCGCAACGATGTGGGAAACGACGGGCCGCCACAACGCATCGGTGCGACTAAGATTCAGGTGAGGGAAAACTTGAAGAGATGGAGGCGGAATTTTGTCAATAGTGAAGGTTGAGGCGTAGATGGCGTCTGAAAAAGGCAAAAAGCCAGGACGAAGATAGCGATTAGATAAGCTGAAGATAAGCCACGGCCATGGCCATGTGTGGTGTGATAGGCTCGACACTGTGCGGCACGTGCGCGGAAGCTAATGAGGTTCGGTGGGGCTTCTAGTTGAGCTCAAACTTTGGTGGGAAGCTCCGGAACGAAACCGTTCAGCCCTTGGTCCAACTTTCTTCGTTTTCTGCTTTTCCCTGGATCAGACCACACCGTGCTGAACACCTCTTGTCGCCTCAAGTGAAGCCATTGGGACATCCCACGATAGTGACCGACGAGGAACACACTGTGCGTTCCTCTGATACAATTCGGAGCAACTTCCAGAACACCAATCGCCCTCGATCGAACCCTTGCCAACGTCATCAACATGGCCGTCTTCGGCAGCAAGAAGTTCCAGTCGTCCGCCGACACAAACAACTTCGCCGCCAAGTACCGGTCCATGATGGCCAAGAGACCGTTCCTGCTCTTCGGTCTGCCCTTCGTCGCCGTCATGGTCGCCGGCTCTTTCGTCCTGACCCCGGCCACGGCCATCCGCTACGAGAAGCACGACAGGAGGGTGCGCCAGATGACGAGGGACGAGGAGCTGAACATGCGTCGGTCGGCGCGTAAGGTCGATATGAAGGAGGAGTACTACGTAAGTCGTCCTGCCAA